GAAAGAATACTACTCAAGGCAGAATGCAGTTATTTTGCCCAGTTCTTCTCTTCTGTATGCAGTCAAACTAGGCCATATGAAGGCTCTTTCTAACTTTATTGTCTAATATTTGGTACTGAGGTCCTCTCCCAGGCACTGATGTACAAAACAGTATTAAAATACCTTCCATTTACCTATTTGACAACAACTGATTGAGTTCTGCATCTGTGTATCTAGAAGAGCAAGATCACTGTTTCTTCAATCCAGCGTAAAATCAGGCCCAGTGAACTGTTACTTGTTACTTAATCTGCTTTGTCTAGCTTACTTATCATTTGATAAAAATATAGAAGACAGATAGAACTGAGAAGGTGTTTTCTTTCTGCCATCTTTTGCTCTTGCAATTCTGATTTCACTATTCAGACCTGAAAACTCATCATCAAGAATCTAGCCTCTATTTTATACAACTGTTTTCAGAGGATTTCTTTCATTATAATGTATTGGTGTCGGCAGTGTAGTCAATCATTTCCTCCGCAATAAGCATGCAAAGGGTGGTAAGCCATTTGCCATTTCAGTGGCTTCTTGTGGTTCTGAGGAAAAGATAAAAAAAAAAACTTAAGTTAGTTTTGGTGGAATTATTGCCTTATTTGTATATCCYTTATGCTTTATTGGAAGATTATATAGGTACATATAGATAGAACAATTATTTTTCAAAGCAGAAAGAGAATAAGAATGTAGTACCTCTGTTCTTTCATATATCCACTTTTTTGGATACCTTCACTTCCACTTTTTTATTACTTACAGAGAGATTATTAATACTTATTAAAAAAATTTTAAATTTTGTGTTCTATTACAACAAGTCTTATTATAAGACCACCACCGGATATCAATATAATGCTTAAGAGAGTCTTGTATTTTCCTGAAGTCTGCACTTTTAAGTTTAAGTCTAAACATCTTTTTTTCCTAGGCCTGCTAATATTGACCAGATGGCATGATCCATATTCTTGTCCTCAGACCAGGAGCTGAGGAATTCAGATATCTTTACATTTTTCTTCAGCACATCTCATTGCTTCTTCCTCACGACTTTCTCAAGTGCTGTGTATATACAGAGAGAAACACTGAGAAAAGGAAAGCTTTCTACTAAAGGAAAAGTGATCTGACTTCAACATTCTATTGTCCAAAGACCTACAATCCCAGTTAAGGTTTCCTAGATGGCGTGGTATGGCTACCGTGATGCTTAGAATTCAGAAATCTGCCTCAATCCCCCAGAATGCAAAAGCTGTGGCTGCAAAAATCAACAAGTACTTATGCTGCAGATACATGTGTGCCTCATAGCAATACAACTGTGTCTTCATGTCCTCACTAAATAAGGGTAGGGACATTACAACTCTTCCTTTCCCAGTATCCCAGAATCCCAGAATGGTTGAGGTTGGAAGGAGCCTCTACAGATCATCTAGTCCAACCCCGCCTCCTCAAGCAGGGACACCCAGAGCATGGGGCACAGGGTGGCAGCCAGGCAGGTTTGGAAGATCTCCAGAGAAGGAGACTCCACAGCCTCCCTGGGCAGCCTGTTCCAGGGCTCTGTCACCCTCACAGTAAAGAAGTTCTTACTCACATGCAGATGGAACTTCCTTGCGTTTTTATTTATACCCATTACACCTTGCCCTGTCACTGACCACCACTGAGAAGAGTTTGCTCCCATTCTCTTTACATCCTCCCCTCAGATATTTATGCATATTGATAAAATCTCTTCTCAGTCTTCTTTTCTCCAGGCTAAACAGGCCCAGCTCACTCRGTCTTTCCTCGTAAGAGAGATGTTTGAATCCCATAATTGTCTTCATTACTCAGTAGTATTTCTTCAAAAGTCTTCTCTACAGAGGTTGCAAACTGAGTCCAAATTGATATCACATTGATTTCTAGATAATATCAGTATCATACTTCACAACAGATCAAACTTTATGGGACTAAAAACTGTGACTTCTTCCTTTTGCTCTTTTAAAATGCACTTAATTATTGTCCTCTATAATACTTTTTTCCTAAACTTAATTTAAAAAAGTTTTTGGAAGAGTCTGGGTTAATCTTGCCATCCACAGAGTTTGTGTTCATGTACACAACTTTGATAAATACATTTGAACTCTTGACTCATTCAGAGCTTCCACCTTCCTTACATCTGTGACTTTCAAACAGGAAAGCTGGAGAACTGGGAACTATTGTTCCCTAATAGAAATTATGAAATTAATTATCTTTCATTTGGGCTATGCTCAGAGTTCCTTTTCAGGGGCATTTGTGTTTTACCTGTTAATCAAGGTATTCACTTCTCTGCACATAATCTAAATAAAAATTTGACACACATCAGATAACAGAAATGTTGCAGACATTTTCAGAGTATGAGTGTATATGATCCAAAAATACCAGTATGTGGCAATAGCAGAACACTGAATAGTAGTCATGTCTACCTTTAGATTATCTGTATCACTGTAAGGACATGGCTGTTCATACATACCTCTCCATGAAGCATTATATTCTGGCACAGGCATCTGCTTTGAATGTTTTTTAAAGATGTATTAATCTTYCAGACTGCACTTCTGCTGCAATGTGCCCACCTTGCAGCACCTCCTTTAATGCACTTTAAAATATATCATCCTTGCATATGCTCTACCAACTCTTCTCTCTTCTGTCCATTAAGATGTGTATTCTCATGAAAAAGTTATAAAGCATGGTGGCTTTGTGCTGTGCTTATTCCCAACATATGCTGTCCAGAATGTCTAGGATATRTACATGGATCAAGCAGGCAATAGGAGCAAAGAATTTCTGATTTCAAGTGGCCAGTGCTCGTACCCATCCACTGTCAAATACACATGTGGACAAAATAAAGAAATCCAGCTGCTAACACAAAGAAATCCAGCTGCTTTTCGTGCAACATAACTTATAATTGACTTTTTGGTTCACGTCACTACTGTGATTGTATAATCAGTCTTATTTGCCTAGGGAAATGAGCAAGGTCAGATTGCAATAGATCATATTTTTCTGTTTTGGAAGTTATGTGCTTTCTTTCTGAATCTGAAGATAAGCCACTATATAAATCATGCGTCAGAAAAATCCTAGACCATCTGTAACTTGAATAGAACAACAYTTTTAATGATATTATGATATAGCCAGTTGAACTTCAGACTTAATTTTTATTAGAACAGAGGAGCTGCTTTTTTTATGGAGAAGATGGGTGGAAATATTAAGCAGTCATTAAATGTGTAACTTGAAAAAAGTTTTTGACAGGAAAAAAAGCTGGGTTGTTTAGGGAAAAAAAAAAAGTGTTGTTTTTTTCTCCTCCACTGCCATTAAAGGGAACAAAAAAAGAGGAAAGATATTTTTTGTGACAGATTTCATGTGGAAAACTTCAGTTCTTGTGGAATCATGATGTCAGATATATGAAGTATCATCTAGACAATTATGTCCTTGTACACAAGAAAAAGTGTAGTGTGATCTTCTGGATCAGAAGCTATGAGATTTCCTGTGTTGAATGTTATTACTGTCAAAAAGTGGGTTATTTGGGGACATAGTATTCAATTCACACTTTAATAAGGACTAAGTTTTGTCCTACAGTAATAAATGTGTGACCAAAACATAATGTTCTTCAAGATTTGATGACAGACAGCAAGTTAAAATGTGTTAGCTTCTAAATTTAATTTAGAATAATCGAAATAAATTTATTTGTAGGAGATTTCATCACCACTATTTGTAAAGTTCTGCGGAATCCACTTTATTTTTGTCCAGCATTAAAAAGTTGTTAAAAGTTAAATAAAATAAAATCCATGTTTTCAATATATGCTTACTCACTGTATGCTAGTACCTGATAAAAACAAACAAAGAAACAGTTACTGATGTTGAGAATTTGGGACCTGTGCTCTCTGGCCTGTTTGCCTGTGAAATCTATAGTATAGAACTCTCTCTTTTTTTTTTCTTTTTTTTTTCTCTTTTTTTTCTTTTTTTCACATATTTTTCTTTTCTCTTGAGCAATAGGAGATGGATTTCTGTCCTGATAGAGTTGTTTACATTTCAGATTTTTTCTGTTCCTCATAAAACATTATGAAATGGAAATCTTTAGAAGTGAAGAGGGAAAAGAAAAAAAAAATCACACATACTTCAATAACACTGCCTTTGCAGAGATAGATTCATATTACTGCAATAGTTAATAATTCTGTAGGAAAAATAGAAATAGCTCTGACAACAAAACCTGAATTAGGAGGAAAATTCTGTAAATGATGCAGAGAAGTGATATGGTCCTAGGTCTTCCTTACAGAGAGGGCTGTATGTATCTTTATGGATGATTGCTAGGGAAGCAGGGACAGAGTAAGAGGGCTCGTTAGRAGAGGGCTGTTTATCTTCGTGAAAACTAGTTCATCAAAATCCAGAAAGTTTTAACTTAGTTTAATTAGGATTTTGCCATCCAAAATGTTTTCTTCAATAATTTCTGTCCAGCTTTCCATTTTGGCTCCTTTCCATGTGTCTTGTGACCATACGTACTAACTGACATCCATTGTGCCTCTTCCTTGGGATGTTGCTGACTAAACCAAATCTTCACACCAAATCTGCAAACCAAAAGGGCATTGAAACTGCCCACAGCTCTTTTGGTTGGATTCTCGCTTCATTCCAGTCCAGCTTACACCATTTACACAGCATAAAACCATCATTCAGAAGTCAGAGGAACCTGTGTTCAAATACTCAACATGACTAAGTTAAACCTGGTAGCAACTCGGTAGCAAGATGGGAAGATCTATATAGTCAGTGAGAGAATGGATGTTGTGAAAAGAGGATGATAGACTTTCTATTGTGAAAGTTCTTTGATCAGCAGTTTTTGCCAGATACTCCATGTATGTCCAGGTGGCCCTGGAGCTACAGATTGGCCTTGCAGAGCCTGGCTAGAAGAGCCAACTGACTTTTGTGTCCCTCAGATATTAAACAGGAAAGTGCTGTCTTTCTACTTAATGTTAAGCTTCTCAGAACTGTTGTTTGCATTTCTCCTGTAGGTGAATGGTATTGATCTTCGAGGTGCTACCCATGAGCAGGCTGCAGCTGCGCTAAAAGGAGCAGGGCAGACGGTAACAATCATAGCACAATACCAGCCGGAGGGTAAGTAAAATAATAAACTTAAGGACATACAGGAAAAGATAAGTGCTTTAAAACCACTATTTAAAAGGATGAGGCTGTTGTAGCTAGTGCTTTTCCCAGCTATCATTAGAAGTCACCCAGAAAGAAAATTCAAGTGACAATTTTATCCCAAAGAAGTGACTATATTTTTATTGAAATTTTTGCCTTGAGAAGTGTTTTATGCAACTGTAAAAACTGTCTTTAAGTGTGCATATAAGACAGAAATCAATGCATCATCATTTTATTTTCATTATTGCTTATTCTGTGCTCCTCCCTTTTCTCTTGTCCTGGAGATAGATACTGCCAAAAGAAGTTAACAATGAGCAGTAATGCCAGGAAGATGTAAAGTTGTCCGAGAGAGCCATGTTTAGAATTAAAGATAAGATTTCTTCCTGGTAAATGCATGCAGCCCTTTATTATTACTACTAAATGACTGTGCTCTAGGAGAATTAGCCCTGGGTAGCAATAATTTGCAAGGGAAATGTGCTAAATAAAACTATCAATAGGAAATTTAGTAATATATCAGACATTTAAGGTGGGATTTGTCTCACCCAGCTTTTAATTTCTAGTATGAAGATTGCTAGAGTTTAAGCTAGTCAGTTGGGCTCTGTTTCATCGGAGAGAAGTAGGCATGGAYTGATCCAGAGTGAAGCAACAGATCTCCATCTCATTCTCCACAAGCTGTGTTTTTTCCTAACATGAACTTTCTGGTAGGAACTTGAGATCATCTTCCTCCACAGCAGTTGTTACCATGAACCTTTCTCTGGGTGAATGCTGATCCTGCCGGTAACTGTTAAGACTTGCTGGCATCATTTTATCAGTTCTCAGTAAACACTGCAATAACTAAATTTAGAAGCACTGCTAGAACCTCTGAAATCATTCTTGGTTCTACCTGCCTGTACCTGCCCACAGCACACGTAGGTCTCAGGTGAAACAGTGCAGTTTTAATAGTAAGTTCTGCTGGTCATTTTTGTCAGACACACTGCGGAGATGAATTGATAATGTCAGAGTTTATGCCACATCATACCTTCTTTTGGGTCTCTGAATCCTGCTAATAACATATGAAGAGAAAAAAAGTGTTTAGCCAAACTTATAGTTGTGCTTCAGATAAGATATGATGCACCCATTTATGTGCTTATCTGCACTTGAGTCATCAAGCAGAATAAATTAGACCACACAAAGAAATGTGCAGAACAAAGGAAATTGTAGGAGTGTTTATGTTTTGTTAAATAAGCGGAGCATCTTCATATAACAATGCATAAGCAATAATCAGAGTTATTTCAAAGATTTATTGAAAAGCAATTTCATTGCAGATAGTCAGCCACAGTGGATTCTCAATAAAAACATGTTCCCATTAGTTGTGGTAGTCTCATTTGCCATCTAGGGATTTTAAACTGCGATTATGACTGTGATATTTGAGTACTTAGAGCAATCAGTGGCATTACAGAGTTGCTCTCTGTCGTTGTAAATGCGCAGAATATACATTGTTTGAGAGATTTTCCTTTTATATTTGAATTTGCAGTTGATGTATTTATTCCCTGCATTTTACCATCTCCGTACTCATCAGATTCAATTTTAGCAAATATGCAATTCAAACAGTGATTTTTAAATCCATCAACTATGATATTGCCTGTTTATTCCTGTAATGGTGCACCATTCACCAGGAGCCCTGTTAATGGAAGACTAGGCCACGTTGTGTGGCTCATGGCCATTCAAACACAGCCAGTTTTCTATTTCACCCATATTGTCCAGGACCCAGAATAAAGTGGGGCTGGGAAAAGAATGGGGCATTAAACCTAGCATTTTACAGAAAGTGATAGGATTTGTTCAGGTAGTGAGAGGAGCTTGAGTCCCATACCTTGTCATACCAGCCAAGGAACTCAGCCCAGCCTGAAGAATTCATTTTGTTCTGAGATGCTGGTTAATGCAAACTGTGTAGATACAGATGTAAAATTAAGTATTTCATTCCTTAAAAAAGACCCAACAGCAAAGAAACCTGAAACAGGTTTAAAGGAGCTCTTTAAATAATCTTGCCATAAAATTATTTAAGAGTTTTTGCAACACATAGAAAGACAAAAATATTCTTGCTGTATCAGCATAAATATTTAACTTATTCTAAAAATTCTGCAAAACTCTATCTCCTTTCTGTGTAATTTTTGCTTGATTCATATTCATCCTATCTTAGCATGAAGCATATATTGGAATTACTTTAAAAATGCTTCTTAAGCCAGTAAAGTGCATGAAGCAAAGTAGATCTGTAACTTGATTTTTTGATTCATACACTAAAAGCTCCAAGTTATTACTACAGCCACAGGATTTTAAGGACATCCAATAACAGTCACTGCAAGTGTAAATGGATACTTTTTTTTTTTGTCTTTTCCAGCTTATTAAGCATTTAYATCTTGCTACAAACTACATTATTCACTAAGAATTTTAGCTGTTGATATTCTGGATATTAAGTGATRATGAAATAAACGAAAGTCACTTTTAGAAGTAAACACTATAGAAACATCTTTGAAAGTTTATTTCCCTTGCCTTGCCTTAAACAATTCAGAAATTTATCTCAGCCTCATGTGAACTCACATTTGTGTTTATAGACCTGGCAGCAAATCTCATGAGAATGGCAACTCCTGCAAAACTAGGGCTTGCCTTCAACTTGAATTTCTTTTCCTGTGAGTGTTGTGGCACTTTGGTTCCACCTCTTCTCTGCAATGAACAAATGAGGAGGCTAGCAAAGACAAAATATGATAGCAACACAGACAATTTCCTTCCCGTACCTCTTCTGCTCTTTAATTCCCCTTTTCCACAGGTACATCACCTTTATTTCTCTCTTCTCTCTGAGAAGCAGACGAAGAAGTAAAAGAGATATGAAAGTCCAAACAGAAATACATATTCTGTGGAAAAAAAATACAGAAATTAGGAGTAAGAGGGAAGGGGATCACAGGCATTAAAAATCAGGCCTTGACACTGAGGCTGTTTCTAAGAGCCATAATGGGATTTTTTGAGGCATCTCTTACTTTCATTTTAGAAAACTGAAAATAATAAGTGAACTGTATCTATCTTATGTATTGTGTAAGTAGAGCTCAAGTGATGCTGAGCGTCATGTTGAGCAGTGATCACTCTAGTTCACTCCAGTGCATAGAGACTTGTGTGTGTGTCTAGTTTTAAGTATACAAGCTATACCGTGGGCTTCAAAAAGGCAATTTKGGGGGCTTTCATGTGCTGTTCACATGTCCTACACACAGTTTAAATGCAATTAAAGAAAATTTAAGGACAAAAAGAACATAGAACAAAGCTAGAAGAGGAACTGATCATTTATAATTAGCTTTGCTCTCCAATTTTTAGTATTCTTAGAAGCATTTTTTTCTTTCCTCCATGCTTAGCAGCTCTTTCAGATCTCTTTTAAAATTTGATGCAAATGTAGATCTAGAGAGTAGGCATTTCTCTTCTGAAAAATAAAAGACTGGCCTTGGGGAATAATCTTACAAAGGCAGAGCAGCGTGTGCTCACTAAACAATTAATTATAAATTAAAATTGGAATATATACTGCATGGGGAAATTCTAGGCTTTTAAGCAGTACCTGTTTTGATTTTAGGCAGTAGTGATAAACTGCAGTCCAAAATGGAAGGAATTAAGAAGTATTTAGACAGTGAAACTGATACATATTTTGAAAAGAGGAGCTTCATCTGAAATAGAGATGATTCCTCCTAAAAGTCACAGGTTGTTGGGAGGGAAGGAAAGACAGAAAGCTGGATGCCATAAAGGACCTGTTAAAAAGCTTTGTCCATTTTGTCATTTTATTGTGAAATGCTCTTAGTTATTCCCAGTGCACTACTGTGGAAGGGGTAGAATTTAGTTCGGAGATTTTTTCAGGTTATTCCATGCCAGTGGCCTGTAAGCTGTGCTGCACTGCAGTGTCACTGCAGCTCTTCCTCCACCACAATCCCTGGAAAACCCTTGAAGTGGTCAGAAGCTTTATGTGCTTTCCATCTTCCAAGCAAGCCGATTAGCTCCCTAATAGCTTGCATGAGGGGAAAACAATCATCAATTACAGTTTGATTAGACCAGCTGATAATACAGAGGTCAAAAATTTGTTACAGTGGGAGAATTTCAGCTTTCTGCTCTTTTGAGTTCTCTATTAGTCTAGCGATGCTGTGAATGGCCAGGAGCCCCCAGCGAGGTGGAGGGAGAGTCTCAGAYGGAGATATCCTGTGATAAGCAGAATCTTTCTTTGCCAACTTCAGCTATKGAAGTTATTGGAGAACTGTACGTATAATTATAGGGCATCTCATGACAGTGATGGTAATAAATTCACTTCTCAGTTCTTTTGTTCCTGACTCTGGGAGGCTCAGAGAGTGCATTATCACAGACCCAGCTCTGATGAGCTGCATCAGCCTTTACAAAAGCATAGTCCTTTTCTTATAGCCTCATCGGAGCTATTGATGCATGAAATCTCCTGCTTTTAAAATATTAGAGTGAAAATCCAGGGACCACTGTTAAAAATAYCACTTGGAACAAATTCAGGGATATCTTTTAGCTCCTTCCTCCATTTCATTCCTTGTTCCTCACTCAAAAAGGTAAACCACTTGTTTTCTATTTTGTTACAGCTAGCACATATGTTTCTGACTCAAATGTTTTACCTTTCTAGCTATGGGAGAAATAAGGCAAATACAAAACATTTGAGAAGAATAAATAATTGCATTTATTTGTCTCTGTCTAGGTATTGTCTGTAGCTTTGAACTTTTTTTATCAGCTGTTGAAAATCGAAAATGTCACTTAGATGACTTGGATAACRTTGCATCGATTTACTGCAGTTGGCTTTCATTATTTAGAAGCCACTGTATCTAATTGCCAAAGAATGCAAGATGCTAAGGTTACATTTCATGCATGTGCATTTAGGAATATAATGGGATCTAAGAATGTCCATATGGGATTTGACCAAAGGCCCATTTGTTGATGATCATGTCCAAGTAGCCAGCAGC